GTGTGTGTGTGTATCCTGCAGTACTCTGAGAAGAATAATAAGCATATTTCTGAGGTGAATTTTGAAGATTCATCTGAGAGTTAGGTTTGATTCGATTCGATTGACGCTCCCCACGTTCAAGTCACATGACATATTTAACCGGATGTAGCTGCAAGACGGAGCCTCGTTGACTCTCCGTTTCAACTTATCTCAAAAGTGAGGACCTCAACCTATATACCAGTTTTTAAATTGTGTTGATAGGCCAAATAAAACCAGAGTTATGATAAATTATGTCCGCGATACTTTTTTTCTGCTTATTTTGATCACGTTCGGCGCTCGATCGCGCTGTATGAGACAGGAAAACATAGCATGCACACATTAGCGACAGGTCTTACAGGCGGAAAAGGCTTGCCAAAAGAAAAAAAAAACACACCACAACATCTCTCCTATTGGTGGAAAACTTCACCACAACAACCAATCCAAAATTATATGGTGACTGATTGACAAGGGGCGGGCGCTTACGTTCTTCCTGCAATATGAGAAGGGAGGGAGGGACTCTCAGCAGGGATGCAGTCTGGGACACGTAGTTGCAAACCTAGCGACTTTGTTGTTAGATTCAATTACTTTTCAGACCCCCTAACGACTTTTTTAGAAAGAAAGGGACTTTTATCGACTTCTTCTGGAGTTTAGAGACTCTGACATGAAGCAGGCTTTCCTTACTGAGGAGTTAGCAACGCTGCTAAGGGTGCAGAGCCACACATGCGCTCCGAGCTCTGCATGGGAGACTGAAGCTGACAGAGCTGCAGCAGTTAGCAGGTTTCACCCTCAGAGACCACCAGGGGTTCATGTTGAGGCATTTTCAGTTTTTGTTTTTTTTGCCATAGACTGTCAGCACAATCTGCAGTTACACTAACAAAAATGCTGCAAAAAACAAAGAATTATGGAAAAATTACACATGGACTGACATAGAGGAGGATCTACACAAGTTTTTTACATCATGTTTTACATCATGCATCATTTACATCATTCATCATTTTTTGTAGTGGCATAAATAAAAAGTGACATTTGTGAGACTATACAGTGTTTTGTAAATAATTTTACAAAGAACGCCTGGGCCATTGCCTGCATTTTGATGTAAATAGAGGTAAATAACTATGTTCTTTGTTAAAAATTTGCATATGTTTTGAAGTTTACAATTTTTATTTGAAGTTTAAGTTTTAAAAACAGTTCATCACACATATTTGTGGTTTAATTTCACATTAATTTCCATATTGTATAAATGACTGGAAAAAACTTGAGCCCCTGCCCCTGTATAATCATGTGCACGTCCCTGTTCTAGCTCCAAGGTGAATCTTCACTGCTCATGTTCTCCTCAGAAATAGTCACCTCACTCCCCTCAGGTTACTGTACACATGCACCAACTATCTGCTTCAGGTTTGGATGGAGCTTCATGGTTGTCTTTTGGAGAAATGAACAGTCAAGTTGTGTTTGAAATATGATTTTTTTCAGCGGCAAAAGGAAGCCTCTGCATTCTTGTCAAATATGTAAACAGCATGTTTTTGCAGGTGCTAAAAAACAGACTCTGAGTGTGTGTCTGTGTGTGTGTGTGTGTGTGTGTGTATGTGTGTGTATCCTGCAGTACTCTGTACTCCTGCAGTGGCCAAAAAGACTTTTAAGAATGTGGATTTTTGGGTCATCTTTGGCGCCCCCTAGAACTGCAGTACTCTGTACTCCTGCAGTGGCCAAAATGACTTTTAAGAATGTGGATTTTTGGGTCATCTTTTGCGCCCCCTAGAACGTAAACCGTGGGGTGCAGCGTCATGATTTTTACAACTTTGAATGGGCATGGGGTGTAGATTGCCCTGAGCAAATTTGGTATCGGTGGGACGAAAGCCTTAGGAGGAGATAGCCACATTCCAATGTGTGCGAATCGGCAAAAAATGCGAAATAGCCCTTTAACCGTACATTATACAGATACGCGCTTTTTGACTTTTTCGTAGATCTAATTGAGATACACATGATTGTCAATTTTTGTGTCAATATGACAAAGCGTTCAGGCGTGACACTCAACAATGTGTATTTTCATGTAAGGGGACAAGAAAAAATTGACTTTTTTCTCCTGCCATGGGGGGGCGCTCTTTTGGGGAGTAAAAATTCCTTCACAAATGTGTTGATGGCTGGACATTGCATCATCCTAGAAAACTTGGAGGCCAGTGAGGGCAAAAATAAAAAGTTATAAGACTTTTAAATATGTGGATCTTAGGGTTATCTTTGGCGCCCCCTAGAACCTAAACCGTGGGGTGCAGCGTCATGATTTGAATAACTTTTAATGGCCATGGGGTGTAGATTGGCCTGAGCAAATGTGGTGCCGGTGGAACGAAAGCCTTCGGAGGAGTTAGCGAAATTCCAATGTGTGCGGATCGGCAAAAAATGCGAAATAACCCTTTAACCGTACATTTGACAGATACGCCCGCACTGACTTTTTTGTAGATCTTATTGAGATACATGTGTGTGTCAATTTTTGTGTCATTTTGACAAAGCGTACACGCGTGACAGTCAATAGTGTGAATTTTCACCTTAGGGGGCGCTATGGAGCCATTTTGCATTTTCTTGTTTGGGCGACTTCGGAATATCAAATTTTTCACCAGGCCCGGTCGTCCTGCCAAATTTCATGAGTTTTCGCCAGTGGGAAGTGGGCCATTTTCCAGTTCAAAGGGGAGGAAAAATAATAATAACTAGGGCCCCGGTGGGGCACTGTCGGGCCCGAGCCGCGTCGCGCCGCCCCTAGCGCGCGCGCGACCGCCTCCCCCTCCCGATCGCGTCACACTCAAGGTCCAAAGATGGTGTGCGCACTTGTCTGTGGTCATTTCCCATTATAATGAATGGGAGGCGCAGTTTCTACCAAAACACTCGCTGCAGACAAACTTCATGTCCTATTTGAAAAAAGTCTGGACCATGAGTGAGGGCACAAACACAGCTATGATATATCGAAATGGCAGGTTGCTCCTCCTTACGGTGTTGCCTGGAGAGCGATGCGATTGAGCCATTGAGCGATGGGCAGGGTTAACTTGACTTTTTCTCCTGCCTTGGGGGGGATGTGGATTCCTTTAAGAATGTGGATTTTTGGGTCATCTTTGGCGCCCCCTAGAACGTAAACCGTGGGGTGCAGCGTCATGATTTTTACAACTTTGAATGGCCATGGGGTGTAGATTGGCCTGAGCAAATTTGGTGTCAGTGGGACGAAAGCCTTAGGAGGAGTTAGCCACATTCCAATGTGTGCGAATCGGCAAAAAATGCAAAATAGCCCTTTAACCGTACATTTGACAGATACGCGCGCATTGACTTTTTTGTAGATCTTATTGAGATACATATGTGTGTCAATTTTTGTGTCAATATGATAAAGCGTACAGGCGTGACAGTCAATAGTGTGAATTTCCACCTTAGGGGACAAGAAAAAATTGACTTTTTTCTCCTGCCATGGGGGGGCGCTCTTTTGGGGAGTAAAAATTCCTTCACAAATGTGTTGATGGCTGGACATTGCATCATCCTAGAAAACTTGGAGGCCAGTGAGGACAAAAATAAAAAGTTATAAGACTTTTAAATATGTGGATTTTAGGGTTATCTTTGGCGCCCCCTAGAACCTAAACCGTGGGGTGCAGCGTCATGATTTGAATAACTTTTAATGGCCATGGGGTGTAGATTGGCCTGAGCAAATGTGGTGCCGGTGGAACGAAAGCCTTCGGAGGAGTTAGCGAAATTCCAATGTGTGCGGATCGGCAAAAAATGCGGAATAACCCTTTAACCGTACATTTGACAGATACGCGCGCATTGACTTTTTCGTAGATCTTATTGAGATACATGTGTGTGTCAATTTTTGTGTCATTTTGCCAAAGCGTACAGGTGTTACACTCAACAATGTGTATTTTCACCTTAGGGGACAAGAAAAAATGGACTTTTTTCTCCTGCCATGGGGGGGCGCTCTTTTGGGGAGTAAAAATTCCTTCACAAATGTGTTGATGGCTGGACATTGCATCATCCTAGAAAACTTGGAGGCCAGTGAGGGCAAAAATAAAAAGTTATAAGACTTTTAAATATGTGGATCTTAGGGTTATCTTTGGCGCCCCCTAGAACCTAAACCGTGGGGTGCAGCGTCATGATTTGAATAACTTTTAATGGCCATGGGGTGTAGATTGGCCTGAGCAAATGTGGTGCCGGTGGAACGAAAGCCTTCGGAGGAGTTAGCGAAATTCCAATGTGTGCGGATCGGCAAAAAATGCGAAATAACCCTTTAACCGTACATTTGACAGATACGCCCGCACTGACTTTTTTGTAGATCTTATTGAGATACATGTGTGTGTCAATTTTTGTGTCATTTTGCCAAAGCGTACAGGTGTTACACTCAACAATGTGTATTTTCACCTTAGGGGACAAGAAAAAATGGACTTTTTTCTCCTGCCATGGGGGGCGCTCTTTTGGGGAGTAAAAATTCCTTCACAAATGTGTTGATGGCTGGACATTGCATCATCCTAGAAAACTTGGAGGCCAGTGAGGGCAAAAATAAAAAGTTATAAGACTTTTAAATATGTGGATCTTAGGGTTATCTTTGGCGCCCCCTAGAACCTAAACCGTGGGGTGCAGCGTCATGATTTGAATAACTTTTAATGGCCATGGGGTGTAGATTGGCCTGAGCAAATGTGGTGCCGGTGGAACGAAAGCCTTCGGAGGAGTTAGCGAAATTCCAATGTGTGCGGATCGGCAAAAAATGCGAAATAACCCTTTAACCGTACATTTGACAGATACGCCCGCACTGACTTTTTTGTAGATCTTATTGAGATACATGTGTGTGTCAATTTTTGTGTCATTTTGACAAAGCGTACAGGCGTGACAGTGAATAGTGTGAATTTTCACCTTAGGGGGCGCTATGGAGCCATTTTGCATTTTCTTGTTTGGGCGACTTCGGAATATCAAATTTTTCACCAGGCCCGGTCGTCCTGCCAAATTTCATGAGTTTTCGCCAGTGGGAAGTGGGCCATTTTCCAGTTTAAAGGGGAGGAAAAATAATAACTAGGGCCCCGTTGGGGCACTGGAGGGCCCGAGCCATGTCACGCCGCCCTCAGCGCGACCGCCTCCCCCACCCGATCGCGTCACACTGAAGGTCCAAAGATGGTATGCGCACTTGTTTGTGGTCATTTACCATTATAATGAACGGGAGGCGCAGTTTCTACCAAAACGCTCGCTGCAGAAAAACTCCATGTCCTATTTGAAAAAAGTCTGGACCATGAGTGAGGGCACAAACACAGCTAAGATATATCCAAATGGCAAGTTGCTCCTCCTTTCGCTTTTGCCGAGAGAGCAGTGCGTTTGAGCCATTGAATGATGAACAGGAAAAACTTGACTTTATTCTCCTGCCATGGGGGGGTGCTCTTTTAACGAGAAAAAACTCCTTCACAAATGTGTTGATGGCTGGACATTGCATCATCCTAGAAAACATGGAGGCCAGTGAGGACAAAAATAAAAAGTTATAAGACTTTTAAATATGTGGATTTTAGTGTTATCTTTGGCGCCCCCTAGAACCTAAACCTTGGGGTGCAGCGTCATGATTTGAATAACTTTTAATGGCCATGGGGTGTAGATTGGCCTGAGCAAATGTGGTGCCGGTGGAACGAAAGCCTTCGGAGGATTTAGCGAAATTCCAATGTGTGCGAATCTGCAAAAAATGCGAAATAACCCTTTAACCGTACATTTTACAGATACGTGGCCATTGACTTTTTCGAAGATCTTATTGAAATACACGTGTATGTAAAATTTTGTGTCAATACGACAAAACATACAGGCGTAGCACTCAACAATGTGTATTTTCACCTTAGTGGACAAGAAAAAATGGACTTTTTTCTCCTGCCATGGGGGGGCGCTCTTTTGGCGAGTAAAAATTCCTTCACAAATGTGTTGATGGCTGGACATTGCATCATCCTAGAAAACTTGGAGGCCAGTGAGGACAAAAATAAAAAGTTATAAGACTTTTAAATATGTGGATTTTAGTGTTATCTTTGGCGCCCCCTAGAACCTAAACCTTGGGGTGCAGCGTCATGATTTGAATAACTTTTAATGGCCATGGGGTGTAGATTGGCCTGAGCAAATGTGGTGCCGGTGGAACGAAAGCCTTCGGAGGAGTTAGCGAAATTCCAATGTGTGCGGATCGGCAAAAAATGCAGAATAACCCTTTAACCGTACATTTGACAGATACGCACGCATTGACTTTTTCGTAGATCTTATTGAGATACATGTGTGTGTCAATTTTTGTGTCATTTTGCCAAAGCATACAGGTGTTACACTCAACAATGTGTATTTTCACCTTAGGGGACAAGAAAAAATGGACTTTTTTCTCCTGCCATGGGGGGGCGCTCTTTTGGGGAGTAAAAATTCCTTCACAAATGTGTTGATGGCTGGACATTGCATCATCCTAGAAAACTTGGAGGCCAGTGAGGGCAAAAATAAAAAGTTATAAGACTTTTAAATATGTGGATCTTAGGGTTATCTTTGGCGCCCCCTAGAACCTAAACCGTGGGGTGCAGCGTCATGATTTGAATAACTTTTAATGGCCATGGGGTGTAGATTGGCCTGAGCAAATGTGGTGCCGGTGGAACGAAAGCCTTCGGAGGAGTTAGCGAAATTCCAATGTGTGCGGATCGGCAAAAAATGCGAAATAACCCTTTAACCATACATTTGACAGATACGCCCGCACTGACTTTTTTGTAGATCTTATTGAGATACATGTGTGTGTCAATTTTTGTGTCATTTTGACAAAGCGTACACGCGTGACAGTCAATAGTGTGAATTTTCACCTTAGGGGGCGCTATGGAGCCATTTTGCATTTTCTTGTTTGGGCGACTTCGGAATATCAAATTTTTCACCAGGCCCGGTCGTCCTGCCAAATTTCATGAGTTTTCGCCAGTGGGAAGTGGGCCATTTTCCAGTTCAAAGGGGAGGAAAAATAATAATAACAAAAGAAGGAAACATGCAGGAACAAGAGGGCTCTCGCAGCTGCTTAGCAGCTACGCTCGGGCCCTAATAATAACAAAAGAAGGAAACTACAGGAACAAGAGGGCTCTCGCAGCTGCTTAGCAGCTACGCTCGGGCCCTAACAAGAGGGCTCTCGCAGCTGCTTAGCAGCTACGCTCGGGCCCTAACTAGGGCCCCGGTGGGGCACTGTCGGGCCCGAGCCGCGTCGCGCCGCCCCCAGCGCGACCGCCTCCCCCTCCCGATCGCATCACACTCAAGGTCCAAAGATGGTGTCCGCACTTGTCTGTGGTCATTTCCCATTATAATGAATGGGAGGCGCAGTTTCTACCAAAACGGTCGCTGCAGACAAACTACATGTCCTATTTGAAAAAAGTCTGGACCATGAGTGAGGGCACAAACACAGCTAGGATATATCCAAATGGCAAGTTGCTCCTCCTTACGGTGTTGCCAGGAGAGCGATGCGATTGAGCCATTGAGCGATGGGCAGGGTTAACTGGACTTTTTCTCCTGCCTTGGTGGGGGGGGGTGTGGATTCTTTTAAGAATGTGGATATTTGGGTCATCTTTGGCGCCCCCTAGAACGTAAACCATGGGGTGCAGCGGCATGATTTTTACAACTTTGAATGGCCATGGGATGTAGATCGGCTTGAGCAAATTTGGTGTTGGTGGGAAGAAAGCCTTAGGAGGAGTTAGCCACATTCCAATGTGTGCGAATCGGCAAAAAATGCGAAATAGCCCTTTAACCGTACATTTTACAGATACGTGCCCATTGACTTTTTCGTAGATCTTATTGAGATACACGTGTGTGTCAAATTTTGTGTCATTTTGACAAAGCGCATAGGCGTGACAGTCAACAATGTGTTATTTCACCTTAGGGGACAAGAAAAAATGGACTTTTTTCTCCTGCCATGGGGGGGCGCTCTTTCGGGAGTAAAAATTCCTTTGCAAATGTGTTGATGGCTGGACATTGCATCATCCTAGAAAACTTGGAGGCCAGTGAGGACAAAAATAAAAAGTTATAAGACTTTTAAGACTGTGGATTTTTGGGTTATCTTTGGCGCCCCCTAGAACCTAAACTCTGGAGTGCAGCGTCATGATTTGTACAACTTTTAATGGCCATGGGGTGTAGATTGGCCTGAGCAAATTTGGTGGCGGTGGAACTAAAGCCTTAGGAGGAGTTAGCGAAATTCCAATGTGTGCGGATCGGGAAAAAATGCGAAATAACCCTTTAACCGTACATTTTACAGATCGTGCCCATTGACTTTTTCGTAGATCTTATTGAGATACACGTGATTGTCAAATTTTGGGTCAATATGACAAAGTGTATAGGCGTGACACTCAACAATGTGTATTTTCACCTTAGGGGACAAGAAAAAATGGACTTTTTTCTCCTGCCATGTGGGGGCGCTCTTTTGGGGAGTAAAAATTCCTTCACAAATGTGTTGATGGCTGGACATTGCATCATCCTAGAGAACTTGGAGGCCAGTGAGGACAAAAATAAAAAGTTATAAGACTTTTAAGACTGTGGATTTTTGGGTTATCTTTGGCGCCCCCTAGAACGTAAACTGTGGGGTGCAGCGTCATGATTTGTACAACTTTTAATGGCCATGGGGTGTAGATTGGCCTGAGCAAATGTGGTGCCGGTGGAACGAATGCCTTCGGAGGAGTTAGCGAAATTCCAATGTGTGCAGATCGGCAAAAAATGCGAAATAACCCTCTAACCGTACATTTCACAGATGCGCCCGCGCTGACTTTTTCATAGACCGTATTGAGATACACGTGTGTGTCAGTTTTTGTGTCAATATGACAAAGCGTACAGGCGTGACAGTCAATAGTGTGAATTTTCGCCTTAGGGGGCGCTATGGAGCCATTTTGCATTTTATTGTTTGGGCGACTTCAGAATATCGAATTTTTCACCAGGCCCGGTCGTCCTGCCAAATTTCCTGAGTTTTCGCCAGTGGGAAGTGGGCCATTTTCCAGTTTAAAGCGGAGGAAAAATAACGAAAGAAGAATCCATCAGGAACAAGAGGGCTCTCGCAGCTGCTTAGCAGCTACGCTCGGGCCCTAATAACAAAAGAAGGAAACATGCAGGAACAAGAGGGCTCTCGCAGCTGCTTAGCAGCTACGCTCGGGCCCTAACTAGGACCCCGTTGGGGCACTGTCGGGCCCGAGCCGCGTCGCGCCGCCCCCACACGACCGCCTCCCCCTCCCGATCGCGTCACACTCAAGGTCCAAAGATGGTGTGCGCACTTGTCTGTGGTCATTTCGCATTATAATGAATGGGAGGCGCAGTTTCTACCAAAACACTCGCTGCAGACAAACTTCATGTCCTATTTGAAAAAAGTCTGGACCATGAGTGAGGGCACAAACACAGCTGGGATATATCCAAATGGCAGGTTGCTCCTCCTTACGGTGTTGCCTGGAGAGCGATGCGATTGAGCCATTGAGCGATGGGCAGGGTTAACTTGACTTTTTCTCCTGCCTTGGGGGGGGGGGGGGGGATGTGGATTCCTTTAAGAATGTGGATTTTTGGGTCATCTTTGGCGCCCCCTAGAACGTAAACCGTGGGGTGCAGCGTCATGATTTTTACAACTTTGAATGGCCATGGGGTGTAGATTGGCCTGAGCAAATTTGGTGTCAGTGGGACGAAAGCCTTAGGAGGAGTTAGCCACATTCCAATGTGTGCGAATCGGCAAAAAATGCAAAATAGCCCTTTAACCGTACATTTGACAGATACGCGCGCATTGACTTTTTTGTAGATCTCATTGAGATACATATGTGTGTCAATTTTTGTGTCAATATGATAAAGCGTACAGGCGTGACAGTCAATAGTGTGAATTTCCACCTTAGGGGACAAGAAAAAATTGACTTTTTTCTCCTGCCATGGGGGGGCGCTCTTTTGGGGAGTAAAAATTCCTTCACAAATGTGTTGATGGCTGGACATTGCATCATCCTAGAAAACTTGGAGGCCAGTGAGGACAAAAATAAAAAGTTATAAGACTTTGAAAAATGTGGATTTTAGGGTTATCTTTGGCGCCCCCTAGAACCTAAACCGTGGGGTGCAGCGTCATGATTTGAATAACTTTTAATGGCCATGGGGTGTAGATTGGCCTGAGCAAATGTGGTGCCGGTGGAACGAAAGCCTTCGGAGGAGTTAGCGAAATTCCAATGTGTGCGGATCGGCAAAAAATGCGGAATAACCCTTTAACCGTACATTTGACAGATACGCGCGCATTGACTTTTTCGTAGATCTTATTGAGATACATGTGTGTGTCAATTTTTGTGTCATTTTTGTGTCATTTTGCCAAAGCGTACAGGTGTTACACTCAACAATGTGTATTTTCACCTTAGGGGACAAGAAAAAATGGACTTTTTTCTCCTGCCATGGGGGGGCGCTCTTTTGGGGAGTAAAAATTCCTTCACAAATGTGTTGATGGCTGGACATTGCATCATCCTAGAAAACTTGGAGGCCAGTGAGGGCAAAAATAAAAAGTTATAAGACTTTTAAATATGTGGATCTTAGGGTTATCTTTGGCGCCCCCTAGAACCTAAACCGTGGGGTGCAGCGTCATGATTTGAATAACTTTTAATGGCCATGGGGTGTAGATTGGCCTGAGCAAATGTGGTGCCGGTGGAACGAAAGCCTTCGGAGGAGTTAGCGAAATTCCAATGTGTGCGGATCGGCAAAAAATGCGCAATAACCCTTTAACCGTACATTTGACAGATACGCCCGCACTGACTTTTTTGTAGATCTTATTGAGATACATGTGTGTGTCAATTTTTGTGTCATTTTGACAAAGCGTACACGCGTGACAGTCAATAGTGTGAATTTTCACCTTAGGGGGCGCTATGGAGCCATTTTGCATTTTCTTGTTTGGGCGACTTCGGAATATCAAATTTTTCACCAGGCCCGGTCGTCCTGCCAAATTTCATGAGTTTTCGCCAGTGGGAAGTGGGCCATTTTCCAGTTCAAAGGGGAGGAAAAATAATAACTAGGGCCCCGGTGGGGCACTGTCGGGCCCGAGCCACGTCGTGCCGCCCCCAGCGTGACCGCCTCCCCCTCCCGATCGCGTCACACTCAAGGTCCAAAGATGGTGTGCGCACTTGTCTGTGGTCATTTCGCATTATAATGAATGGGAGGCGCAGTTTCTACCAAAACACTCGCTGCAGACAAACTTCATGTCCTATTTGAAAAAAGTCTGGACCATGAGTGAGGGCACAAACACAGCTGGGATATATCCAAATGGCAGGTTGCTCCTCGTTACGGTGTTGCCTGGAGAGCGATGCGATTGAGCCATTGAGCGATGGGCAGGAAAAACTTGACTTTTTCTCCTACCATGGGGGGGGAGAATGTGGATTCTTTTAAGAATGTGGATTTTTTGGTCATCTTTGGCGCCCCCTAGAACGTAAACCGTGGGGTGCAGCGTCATGATTTTTACAACTTTGAATGGCCATGGGGTGTAGATTGGCCTGAGCAAATTTGGTTTCAGTGGGACGAAAGCCTTAGGAGGAGTTAGCCACATTCCAATGTGTGCGAATCGGCAAAAAATGCAAAATAGCCCTCTAACCGTACATTTGACAGATACGCACCCATTGACTTTTTCGTAGATCTTATTGAGATACACGTGATTGTCAAATTTTGTGTCAATATGACAAAGCGTACAGGTGTCACACTCAACAATATGAATTTTCACCTTACGGGACAAGAAAAAATTGACTTTTTTCTCCTGCCATGGGGGGGCGCTCTTTTGGGGAGTAAAAATTCCTTCACAAATGTGTTGATGGCTGGACATTGCATCATCCTAGAAAACTTGGAGGCCAGTGAGGACAAAAATAAAAAGTTATAAGACTTTGAAATATGTGGATTTTAGGGTTATCTTTGGCGCCCCCTAGAACCTAAACCGTGGGGTGCAGCGTCATGATTTGAATAACTTTTAATGGCCATGGGGTGTAGATTGGCCTGAGCAAATGTGGTGCCGGTGGAACGCCAGCCTTAGGAGGAGTTAGCGAAATTCCAATGTGTGCGGATCAGCAAAAAATGCGGAATAACCCTTTAACCGTACATTTGACAGATATGCGCGCATTGACTTTTTCGTAGATCTTATTGAGATACATGTGTGTGTCAAATTTTGTGTCAATATGACAAAGCGTAAAGGCGTGACACTCAACAATGTGAATTTTCACCTTACGGGACAAGAAAAAATTGACTTTTTTCTCCTGCCATGGGGGGGCGCTCTTTTGGGGAGTAAAAATTCCTTCACAAATGTGTTGATGGCTGGACATTGCATCATCCTAGAAAACTTGGAGGCCAGTGAGGACAAAAATAAAAAGTTATAAGACTTTGAAATATGTGGATTTTAGGGTTATCTTTGGCGCCCCCTAGAACCTAAACCGTGGGGTGCAGCGTCATGATTTGAATAACTTTTAATGGCCATGGGGTGTAGATTGGCCTGAGCAAATGTGGTGCCGGTGGAACGCCAGCCTTAGGAGGAGTTAGCGAAATTCCAATGTGTGCGGATCAGCAAAAAATGCGGAATAACCCTTTAACCGTACATTTGACAGATATGCGCGCATTGACTTTTTCGTAGATCTTATTGAGATACATGTGTGTGTCAAATTTTGTGTCAATATGACAAAGCGTAAAGGCGTGACACTCAACAATGTGTATTTTCACCTTAGGGGACAAGAAAAAATTGACTTTTTTCTCCGGCCATGGGGGGGCGCTCTTTTGGGGAGTAAAAATTCCTTCACAAATGTGTTGATGGCTGGACATTGCATCATCCTAGAAAACTTGGAGGCCAGTGAGGGCAAAAATAAAAAGTTATAAGACTTTTAAATATGTGGATTTTAGGGTTATCTTTGGCGCCCCCTAGAACCTAAACCGTGGGGTGCAGCGTCATGATTTGAATAACTTTTAATGGCCATGGGGTGTAGATTGGCCTGAGCAAATGTGGTGCCGGTGGAACGCCAGCCTTAGGAGGAGTTAGCGAAATTCCAATGTGTGCGGATCAGCAAAAAATGCGGAATAACCCTTTAACCGTACATTTGACAGATACGCCCGCACTGACTTTTTTGTAGATCTTATTGAGATACATATGTGTGTCAATTTTTGTGTCATTTTGACAAAGCGTACAGGCGTGACAGTCAATAGTGTGAATTTTCACCTTAGGGGGCGCTATGGAGCCATTTTGCATTTTCTTGTTTGGGCGACTTCGGAATATCAAATTTTTCACCAGGCCCGGTCATCCTGCCAAATTTCATGAGTTTTCGCCAGTGGGAAGTGGGCCATTTTCCAGTTCAAAGGGGAGGAAAAAGAAGAAAGAAAGAAACAAAGAAAAACCACTTGGGGAATAATAGGGCTCTCGCAGCTGCTTAGCAGCTACGCTCGGGCCCTAACTAGGGCCCCGTTGGGGCACTGGCGGGCCCGAGCTGTGTCGCGCCCCCCCCCCAACGCGCTGCCTCCCCGTCCCATTCGCGTCCTCTGGCCATCGTCCTCTCTGGTAACGCCCATCACTGCAAAGACCCTTTTCCTTCATCGGCGTTTGCTGTTCTTCCTGCCAGTGCGTGTTGCTTTCACTTACACTTGCCACAGCCAGCCTCGTGAGTGCCTAGCCTATTGGATATTACTGTCACCTACACAGGACAGTCATTACCTTTCTATTAATACTTTGTTTTTTAATTTCACATTAATTTCCATATTGTATAAACGACTGGAAAAAACTTGAGCCCCTGCCCCTGTATAATCATGTGCACGTCCCTGTTCTCGCTCCAAGGTGAATCTTCACTGCTCATGTTCTCCTCAGAAGCAGTCACCTCACTCCCCTCAGGTTACTGTACACATGCACCAACTGCCTGCTTCAGGTTTGGATGGAGCTTCATGGTTGTCATTTGGAGAAATGAACAGTCAAGTTGTGTTTGAAATTTGATTTTTTTCAGGGGCAAAAGGAAGCCTCTGCATTCTTGTCAAATATGTAAACAGCATGTTTTTGCAGGTGCTAAAAAACAGACTCTGAGTGTGTGTGTGTGTGTGTGTGTGTGTGTGTGTGTGTGTGTGTGTGTGTGTGTGTGTGTATGTGTGTGTATCTTGCAGTACTCTGTACTCCTGCAGTGACCAAAAAGACTTTTAAGAATGTGGATTTTTGGGTCATCTTTGGCGCCCCCTAGAACGTAAACCGTGGGGTGCAGCGTCATGATTTTTACAACTTTGAATGGGCATGGGGTGTAGATTGCCCTGAGCAAATTTGGTATCAGTGGGACGAAAGCCTTAGGAGGAGATAGCCACATTCCAATGTGTGCGAATCGGCAAAAAATGCAAAATAGCCCTTTAACCGTACATTTGACAGATACGTGCCTATTGACTTTTTTGTAGATCTTATTGAGATACACGTGATTGTCAAATTGTGTGTCAATATGACAAAGTGTATAGGCGTGACACTCAACAATGTGTATTTTTACCTTAGGAGACAAGAAAAAATGGACTTTTTTCTCCTGCCATGGGGGGGCGCTCTTTTGGGGAGTAAAAATTCCTTCACAAATGTGTTTATGGCTGGACATTGCATCATCCTAGAAACCTTGGAGGCCAGTGAGGACAAAAATAAAAAGTTATAAGACTTTTAAGAATGTGGATTTTTGGGTTATCTTTGGCGCCGCCTAGAACCTAAACCGTGGGGTGCAGCGTCATGATTTGTACAACTTTTAATGGCCATGGGGTGTAGATTGGCCTGAGCAAATTTGGTGCCGGTGGAACGAAAGCCTTTGGAGGAGTTAGCGAAATTCCAATGTGTGCGGATCGGCAAAAAAAGCGAAATAGCCCTTTAACCGTACATTTGACAGATACGCCCACACTGACTTTTTCGTAGATCTTATTGAGATACACATGTGTGTCAAATTTTGTGTCATTTTGACAAAGCGTACAGGCATCAGGTGAGTTTTCACCATAGGGGGCGCTATGGAGCCATTTTTCATTTTTTTGTTTGGACAACTTCAGAATATCAAATTTTTCACCAGGCCCGGTCATCCTGCCAAATTTCCTGAGTTTTCGCCAGTGGGAAGTGGGCCATTTTCCAGTTTAAAGCGGAGGAAAAATAACGAAAGAAGAATCCATCAGGAACAAGAGGGCTCTCGCAGCTGCTTAGCAGCTACGCTCGGGCCCTAATTAGGACCCCGTTGGGGCACTGGCGGGCCCGAGCTGTGTCGCGTCCCCCCCCCCCCCAACGTGCTGCCTTCCCGTCCCATTTGTGTCCTCTGGCCATCGCCCTCTCTGGTAACGCCCATCACTGCAAAGACCCTTTTCCTTCATCGGCGTTTGCTGTTCTTCCTGCCAGTGCGTGTTGCTTTCACTTACACTTGCCACAGCCAGCCTCGTGAGTGCCTAGCCTATTGGATATCACTGTCACCTACACAGGACAGTCATTACCTTTCTATTAATACTTTGTGTTTTAATTTCACATTAATTTCCATATTGTATAAACGACTGGAAAAAACTTGAGCCCCTGCCCCTGTATAATCATGTGCATGTCTCTGTTCTAGCTCCAAGGTGAATCTTCACTGCTCATGTTCTCCTCAGAAGCACTCACCTCACTCCCCTCAGGTTACTGTACACATGCACCAACTGCCTGCTTCAGGTTTGGATGGAGCTTCATGGTTGTCTTTTGGAGAAATGACCAGTCAAGTTGTGTTTGAAATTTGATTTTTTTCAGGGGCAAAAGGAGCCTCTGCATTCTTGTCAAATATGTAAATAGCATGTTTTTGCAGGTGCTAAAAACCAGACTCTGAGTGTGTGTGTGTGTGTGTGTGTGTGTGTGTGTGTGTGTGCGTGTGTGTGTGTCTGTGTGTGCGTTCAAGTCACATGACATATTTAACCGGATGTAGCTGCAAGACGGAGCCTCGTTGACTCTCCGTTTCAACTTATCTCAAAAGTGAGGACCTCAACCTATATACCAGTTTTTAAATTGTGTTGATAGGCCAAATAAAACCAGAGTTATGATAAATTATGTCCGCGATACTTTTTTTCTGCTTATTTTGATCACGTTCGGCGCTCGATCGCGCTGTATGAGACAGGAAAACATAGCATGCAGACATTAGCGACAGGTCTTACAGGCGGAAAAGGCTTGCCAAAAGAAAAAAAAAACACACCACAACATCTCTCCTATTGGTGGAAAACTTCACCACAACAACCAATCCAAAATTATATGGTGACTGATTGACAAGGGGCGGGCGCTTACGTTCTTCCTGCAACATGAGAAGGGAGGGAGGGACTCTCAGCAGGGATGCAGTCTGGGACACGTAGTTGCAAACCTAGCGACTTTGTTGTTAGATTCAATGACTTTTCAGACCCCCTAACGACTTTTTTTAGAAAGAAAGGGACTTTTATCGACTTCTTCTGGAGTTTAGAGACTCTGACATGAAGCAGGCTTTCCTTACTGAGGAGTTAGCAACGCTGCTAAGGGTGCAGAGCCACACATGCGCTCAGAGCTCTGCATGGGAGACTGAAGCTGACAGAGCTGCAGCAGTTAGCAGGTTTCACCCTCAGAGACCACCAGGGGTTCATGTTGAGGCATTTTAAATTTTTTTTTTTTTTTGTGCCATAGACACTGTCAGCACAATCTGCAGTTACACTAACAAAAATGCTGCAAAAAACAAAGAATTATGGAAAAATTACACATGGACTGACATAGAGGAGGATCTACACAAGTTTTTTACATCATGTTTTACATCATGCATCATTTACATCATGTTTTTTTGTAGTGGCATAAATAAAAAGTGACATTTGTGAGACTATACAGTGTTTTGTAAATAATTTTACAAAGAACGCCTGGGCCATTGCCTGCATTTTGATGTAAATAGAGGTAAATTACTATGTTCTTTGTTAAAAATTTGCATATGTTTTGAAGTTTACAATTTTTATTTGAAGTTTAAGTTTTAAAAACAGTTCATCACACATATTTGTGGTTTAATTTCACATTAATTTCCATATTGTATAAATGACTGGAAAAAACTTGAGCCCCTGCCCCTGTATAATCATGTGCACGTCCCTGTTCTAGCTCCAAGGTGAATCTTCACTGCTCATGTTCTCCTCAGAAATAGTCACCTCACTCCCCTCAGGTTACTGTACACATGCACCAACTATCTGCTTCAGGTTTGGATGGAGCTTCATGGTTGTCTTTTGGAGAAATGAACAGTCAAGTTGTGTTTGAAATCTGATTTTTTTCAGGGGCAAAAGGAAGCCTCTGCATTCTTGTCAAATATGTAAACAGCATGTTTTTGCAGGTGCTAAAAAACAGACTCTGAGTGTGTGTGTGTGTGTGTGTGTGTGTGTGTGTGTATATGTGTGTGTATCCTGCAGTACTCTGTACTCCTGCAGTGGCCAAAAAGACTTTTAAGAATGTGGATTTTTGGGTCATCTTTGGCGCCCCCTAGAACTGCAGTACTCTGTACTCCTGCAGTGGCCAAAATGACTTTTAAGAATGTGGATTTTTGGGTCATCTTTGGCGCCCCCTAGAACGTAAACCGTGGGGTGCAGCGTCATGATTTTTACAACTTTGAATGGCCATGGGGTGTAGATTGGACTGAGCAAATTTGGTGTCAGTGGGACGAAAGCCTTAGGAGGAGTTAGCCACATTCCAATGTGTGCGAATCGGCAAAAAATGCGAAATAGCCCTTTAACCGTACATTATACAGATACGCGCTTTTTGACTTTTTCGTAGATCTAATTGAGATACACATGATTGTCAATTTTTGTGTCAATATGACAAAGCGTTCAGGCGTGACACTCAACAATGTGTATTTTCATGTAAGGGGACAAGAAAAAAAGGACTTTTTTCTCCTGCCATGGGGGGGCGCTCTTTTGGGGAGTAAAAATTCCTTCACAAATGTGTTTATGGCTGGACATTGCATCATCCTAGAAAACTTGGAGGGCAGTGAGGACAAAAATAAAAAGTTATAAGACTTTTAAGAATGTGGATTTTGGGTTATTTTTGGCGCCCCCTAGAACGTAAACCGTGGGGTGCAGCGTCATGATTTGTACAACTTTTAATGGCCATGGGGGGTAGATTGGCCTGCGCAAATGTGGTGCCGGTCGAACGAAAGCCTTCGGAGGAGTTAGCGAAATTCCAATGTGTGCAGATCTGCAAAAAATGCAAAATAACCCATTAACCGTACATTTGACAGATACGCCCGTGCTGACTTTTTTGTAGATCTTATTGAGATACATGTGTGTGTCAATTTTTGTGTCAATATGACAAAGCGTACAGCCGTCATGTGAATTTTCACCTTAGGGGGCGCTATGGAGCCATTTTGCATTTTATTGTTTGGGCGACTTCAGAATATCGAATTTTTCACCAGGCCCGGTCGTCCTGCCAAATTTCCTGAGTTTTCGCCAGTGGGAAGTGGGCCATTTTCCAGTTTAAAGCGGAGGAAAAATAATAACGAAAGAAGGAAACATGCAGGAACAAGAGGGCTCTCGCAGCTGCTTAGCAGCTACGCTCGGGCCCTAACTAGGACCCCGGTGGGGCACTGTCGGGCCCGAGCCGCGTTGCGCCGCCCCCAGCGCGACCGCCTCCCCCTCCCGATCGCGTCACACTCAAGGTCCAAAGATGGTGTGCGCACTTGTCTGTGGTCATTTCCCATTATAATGAATGGGAGGCGCAGTTTCTACCAAAACACTCGCTGCAGACAAACTACATGTCCTATTTGAAAAAAGTCTGGACCATGAGTGAGGGCACAAACACAGCTAGGATATATCCAAACGGCAAGTTGCTCCTCGTTACGGTGTTGCCGGGAGAGTGATGCGATTGAGCCATTGAGTGATGGGAAGGAAAAACTTGACTGTTTCTCCTGCCATGGGGGATGGGGGATGGGGGGGGATGTGGATTCTTTTAAGAATGTGGATATTTGGGTCATCTTTGGCGCCCCCTAGAACGTAAACCGTGGGGTGCAGCGTCATGATTTTTACAACTTTGAATGGCCATGGGGTGTAGATTGGCCTGAGCAAATTTGGTGTCAGTGGGACGAAAGCCTTCGGAGGAGTTAGCCACATTCCAATGTGTGCGGATCGGCAAAAAATGTGAAATAACCTTTTAACTGTACATTTTACATATACGTGGCCATTGACTTTTTCGAAGATCTTATTGAAATACACGTGTATGTCAAATTTTGTGTCATTTTGACAAAGCGTACAGGCGTGACACTCTACAATGTGTATTTTCACCTTAGGGGACAAGAAAAAATGGACTTTTTTCTCCTGCCATGGGGGGGCGCTCTTTTGGGGAGTAAAAATTCCTTCACAAATGTGTTGATGGCTGGACATTGCATCATCCTAGAGAACTTGGAGGCCAGTGAGGACAAAAATAAAAAGTTATAAGACTTTTAAGACTGTGGATTTTTGGGTTATCTTTGGCGCCCCCTAGAACCTAAACCGTGGGGTGCAGCGTCATGATTTGTACAACTTTTAATGGCCATGGGGTGTAGATTGGCCTGAGCAAATGTGGTGCCGGTGGAACGAATGCCTTCGGAGGAGTTAGCGAAATTCCAATGTGTGCAGATCTGCAAAAAATGCGAAATAACCCTCTAACCGTACATTTCACAGATGCGTCCGCGCTGACTTTTTGGTAGACCGTTATGAGATACACGTGTGTGTCAATTTTTGTGTCAATATGACAAAGCGGACAGGCGTGACAGTCAATAGTGTGAATTTTCACCTTAGGGGGCGCTATGGAGCCATTTTGCATTTTATTGTTTGGGCAACTTCAGAATATCGAATTTTTCACCAGGCCCGGTCGTCCTGCCAAATTTCCTGAGTTTTCGCCAATGGGAAGTGGGCCATTTTCCCCTTCAAAGGGGAGGAAAAATAAGAAGAAAGAAAGAAAGAAAGAAAGAAAGAAGAAAGAAAAACCTATACAGGAATAATAGGGCTCTACGCCCGGCTGCTCTGCAGCTGGCTCGGGCCCTAATAAACCTTTAACCGTACATTATACAGATACGCGCTCTTTGACTTTTTCGTAGATCTTATTGAGATACACGTGTGTGTCAATTTTTGTGTCAATATGACAAAGCGTTTAGGCGTGACACTCAACAATGTGTATTTTCATGTTAGGGGACAAGAAAATCTTGACTTTTTTCTCCTGCCATGGGGGGGCGCTCTTTTGGGGAGTAAAAATTCCTTCACACATGTGTTGATGGCTGGACATAGCATCATCCTAGAAAACTTGGAGGCCAGTGAGGACAAAAATAAAAAGTTATAAGACTTTTAAGAATGTGGATTTTTGGGTTATCTTTGGCGCCCCCTAGAACGTAAACCGTGGGGTGCAGTGTCATGATTTGTACAACTTTGAATGGCCATGGGGTGTAGATTTGCCTGAGCAAATGTGGTGTCAGTGGGACGAAAGCTTTAGGAGGAGTTAGCCACATTCCAATGTGTGCTGATCGGCAAAAAATGCAAAATAGCCCTTTAACCGTACATTTGACAGATACATGCCCTTTGACTTTTTCGTAGATCTTATTGAGATTCACGTGATTGTTAAATTTTGTGTCAATATGACAAAGCATACAGGCGTGACACTCGACAATGTGTATTTTCACCTTAGGAGACAAGAAAAAATGGACCTTTTTCTCCTGCCATTGGGGGGCGCTCTTTTGGGGAGTAAAAATTCCTTCACAAATGTGTTGATGGCTGGACATTGCATCATCCTAGAAAACTTGGAGGCCAGTGAGGACAAAAGTAAAAAGTTATAAGACTTTTAAGAATGTGGATTTTTGGGTTATCTTTGGCGCCCCCTAGAACGTAAACCGTGGGGTGCAGCGTCATGATTTGTACAACTTTTAATGGCCATGGGGGGTAGATTGGCCTGCGCAAATGTGGTGCCGGTCGAACGAAAGCCTTCGGAGGACTTAGCGAAATTCCAATGTGTGCGAATCGCCAAAAAATGCAAAATAGCCCTTTTACCGTACATTATACAGATACGCGCTCTTTGACTTTTTCGTAGATCTTATTGAGATACATGTGATTGTCAAATTTTGTGTCAATATGACAAAGCGTTCAGGCGTGACACTCAACAATGTGTATTTTCATGTTAGGGGACAAGAAAAAATGGACTTTTTTCTCCTGCCATGGGGGGGCGCTCTTTTGGGGAGTAAAAATTCCTTCACAAATGTGTTCATGGCTGGACATTGCATCATCCTAGAGAACTTGGAGGCCAGTGAGGACAAAAATAAAAAGTTATAAGACTTTTAAGACTGTGGATTTTTGGGTTATCTTTGGCGCCCTCTAGAACCTAAACCGTGGGATGCAGCATCATGATTTGTACAACTTTTAATGGCCATGGGGGGTAGATTGGCCTGCGCAAATGTGGTGCCGGTCGAACGAAAGCCTTCGGAGGAGTTAGCGAAATTCCAATGTGTGCAGATCTGCAAAAAATGCGAAATAACCCATTAACCGTACATTTGACAGATACGGCCGCACTGACTTTTTTGTAGATCTTATTGAGATACATGTGTGTGTCAATTTTTGTGTCATTTTGACAAAGCGTACAGCCGTCATGTGAATTTTCACCTTAGGGGGCGCTATGGAGCCATTTTGCATTTTTTTGTTTGGGCGACTTCAGAATATCGAATTTTTCACCAGGCCCGGTCGTCCTGCCAAATTTCCTGAGTTTTCGCCAGTGGGAAGTGGGCCATTTTCCAGTTTAAAGCGGAGGAAAAATAACGAAAGAAGAATCCATCAGGAACAAGAGGGCTCTCGCAGCTGCTTAGCAGCTACGCTCGGGCCCTAATAATAATAATAATAACAAACTAGGACCCCGTTGGGGCACTGGCGGGCCCGAGCTGTGTCGCGTCCCCCCCCCAACGCGCTGCCTCCCCGTCCCATTTGTGTCCTCTGGCCATCGTCCTCTCTGGTAACGCCCATCACTGCAAAGACCCTTTTCCTTCATCGGCGTTTGCTGTTCTTCCTGCCAGTGCGTGTTGCTTTCACTTACACTTGCCACAGCCAGCCTCTTGAGTGCCTAGCCTATTGGATATCACTGTCACCTACTCAGGACAGTCATTACCTTTCTATTAATACTTTGTTTTTTAATTTCACATTAATTTCCATATTGTATAAACAACTGGAAAAAACTTGAGCCCCTGCCCCTGTATAATCATGTGCACGTCTCTGTTCTAGCTCTAAGGTGAATCTTCACTGCTCATGTTCTCCTCAGAAGCAGTCACCTCACTCCCCTCAGGTTACTGTACACATGCACCAACTGCCTGCTTCAGGTTTGGATGGAGCTTCATGGTTGTCTTTTGGAGAAATGACCAGTCAAGTTGTGTTTGAAATTTGATTTTTTTCAGGGGCAAAAGGAGCCTCTGCATTCTTGTCAAATATGTAAATAGCATGTTTTTGCAGGTGCTAAAAACCAGACTCTGAGTGTGTGTGTGTGCGTGTGTGTGTGTGTCTGTGTGTGTGTGTGTGTGCGTTCAAGTCACATGACATATTTAACCGGATGTAGCTGCAAGACGGAGCCTCGTTGACTCCGTTTCAACTTATCTCAAAAGTGAGGACCTCAACCTATATACCAGTTTTTAAATTGTGTTGATAGGCCAAATAAAACCAGAGTTATGATAAATTATGTCCGCGATACTTGTTTTCTGCTTATTTTGATCACGTTCGGCGCTCGATCGCGCTGTATGAGACAGGAAAACATAGCATGCAGACATTAGCGACAGGTCTTACAGGCGGAAAAGGCTTGCCAAAGGAAAAAAAAAACACACCACAACATCTCTCCTATTGGTGGAAAACTTCACCACAACAACCAATCCAAAATTATATGGTGACTGATTGACAAGGGGCGGGCGCTTACGTTCTTCCTGCAATATGAGAAGGGAGGGAGGGACTCTCAGCAGGGATGCAGTCTGGGACACGTAGTTGCAAACCTAGCGACTTTGTTGTTAGATTCAATGACTTTTCAGACCCCCTAACGACTTTTTTTTAGAAAGAAAGTGACTTTTATCGACTTCTTCTGGAGTTTAGAGACTCTGACATGAAGCAGGCTTTCCTTACTGAGGAGTTAACAACGCTGCTAAGGGTGCAGAGCCACACATGCGCTCCGAGCTTTGCATGGGAGACTGAAGCTGACAGAGCTGCAGCAGTTAGCAGGTTTCACCCTCAGAGACCACCAGGGGTTCATGTTGAGGCATTTTCAGTTTTTTTTTTTTTTTTTTTGCCATCGACACTGTCAGCACAATCTGCAGTTACACTAACAAAAATGCTGCAAAAAACAAAGAATTATGGAAAAATTACACATGGACTAACATAGAGGAGGATCTACACAAGTTTTTTACATCATGTTTTACATCATGCATCATTTACATCATGTTTTTTTGTAGTGGCATAAATAAAAAGTGACATTTGTGAGACTATACAGTGTTTTGTAAATAATTTTACAAAGAACACCTGGGCCATTGCCTGCATTTTGATGTAAATAGAGGTAAATTACTATGTTCTTTGTTAAAAATTTGCATATGTTTTGAAGTTTACAATTTTTATTTGAAGTTTAAGTTTTAAAAACAGTTCATCACACATATTTGTGGTTTTCACAGTAAAAACGTTACTTTTTTCCACTCGGATTTTATGTTTTGTGTGTGAATTTTGGTCCATTGTGTAAATTCAGTATGTCAACATGATAAAATAACTGTAAATTCGCACAGGTGAGGTTGTGCTGAAAAAAATGATACCAGGCAAGGCACGTGATTGTCAAATTTTGTGTCAATATGACAAAGCGTATAGGCGTGACACTCAACAATGTGTATTTTCACCTTAGGGGACAAGAAAAAAAGGACTTTTTTCTCCTGCCATGGGGGGCGCTCTTTTGGGGAGTAAAAATTCCTTAACAAATGTGTTGATGGCTGGACATTGCATCATCCTAGAAAACTTGGAGGCCAGTGAGGACAAAAATAAAAAGTTAAAAGACTTTGAAATATGTGGATTTTAGGGTTATTTTTGGCGCCCCCTAGAACCTAAATCGTGGGGTGCAGCGTCATGATTTGAATAACTTTTAATGGCCATGGGGTGTAGATTGGCCTGAGCAAATGTGGTGCCGGTGGAACGAAAGCCTTCGGAGGAGTTAGCGAAATTCCAATGTGTGCGTATCGGCAAAAAATGCGGAATAACCCTTTAACCGTACATTTGACAGATACGCGCTCATAGACTTTTTTGTAGATCTTATTGAGATACATGTGTGTGTCAATTTTTGTGTCATTTTGCCAAAGCGTAAAGGCGTGACACTCAACAATGTGTATTTTCACCTTAGGGGTCAAGAAAAAATGGACTTTTTTCTCCTGCCATGGGGGGCGCTCTTTTGGGGAGTAAAAATTCCTTCACAGATGTGTTGATGGCTGGACATTGCATCATCCTAGAAAACTTGGAGGCCAGGGAGGACAAAAATAAAAAGTTATAAGACTTTTAAATATGTGGATTTTAGGGTTATTTTTGGCGCCCCCTAGAACCTAAACCGTGGGGTGCAGCGTCATGATTTGAATAACTTTTAATGGCCATGGGGTGTAGATTGGCCTGAGCAAATGTGGTGCCGGTGGAACGAAAGCCTTCGGAGGAGTTAGCGAAATTCCAATGTGTGCAGATCTGCAAAAAATGCAAAATAACCCATTAACCGTACATTTGACAGATACGCCCGCACTGACTTTTTTGTAGATCTTATTGAGATACATGTGTGTGTCAATTTTTGTGTCAATATGACAAAGCGTACAGCCGTCATGTGTATTTTCACCTTAGGGGGCGCTATGGAGCCATTTTGCATTTTATTGTTTGGGCGACTTCGGAATATCAAATTTTTCACCAGGCCCGGTCGTCCTGCCAAATTTCATGAGTTTTCGCCAGTGGGAAGTGGGCCATTTTCCAGTTCAAAGGGGAGGAAAAAGAAAAAAGAAACAAAGACTAGGACCCCGTTGGGGCACTGGCGGGCCCGAGCCGCGTCGCGTCCCCCCCCCAACGTGCTGCCTCCCCGTCCCATTTGTGTCCTCTGGCCATCGCCCTCTCTGGTAACGCCCATCACTGCAAAGACCCTTTTCCTTCATCGGCGTTTGCTGTTCTTCCTGCCAGTGCGTGTTGCTTTCACTTACACTTGCCACAGCCAGCCTCGTGAGTGCCTAGCCTATTGGATATCACTGTCACCTACACAGGACAGTCATTACCTTTCTATTAATACTTTGTGTTTTAATTTCACATTAATTTCCATATTGTATAAACGACTGGAAAAAACTTGAGCCCCTGCCCCTGTATAATCATGTGCATGTCTCTGTTCTAGCTCCAAGGTGAATCTTCACTGCTCATGTTCTCCTCAGAAGCACTCACCTCACTCCCCTCAGGTTACTGTACACATGCACCAACTGCCTGCTTCAGGTTTGGATGGAGCTTCATGGTTGTCTTTTGGAGAAATGAGCAGTCAAGTTGTGTTTGAAATTTGATTTTTTTCAGGGGCAAAAGGAGCCTCTGCATTCTTGTCAAATATGTAAATAGCATGTTTTTGCAGGTGCTTAAAACCAGACTCTGAGTGAGTGTGTGTGTGTGTGTGTGTGTGCGTGTGCGTGTGTGTGTGTCTGTGTGTGCGTTCAAGTCACATGACATATTTAACCGGATGTAGCTGCAAGACGGAGCCTCGTTGACTCTCCGTTTCAACTTATCTCAAAAGTGAGGACCTCAACCTATATACCAGTTTTTAAATTGTGTTGATAGGCCAAATAAAACCAGAGTTATGATAAATTATGTCCGCGATACTTTTTTTCTGCTTATTTTGATCACGTTCGGCGCTCGATCGCGCTGTATGAGACAGGAAAACATAGCATGCAGACATTAGCGACAGCTCTTACAGGCGGAAAAGGCTTGCCAAAAGAAAAAAAAAACACACCACAACATCTCTCCTATTGGTGGAAAACTTCACCACAACAACCAATCCAAAATTATATGGTGACTGATTGACAAGGGGCGGGCGCTTACGTTCTTCCTGCAACATGAGAAGCGAGGGAGGGACTCTCAGCAGGGATGCAGTCTGGGACACGTAGTTGCAAACCTAGCGACTTTGTTGTTAGATTCAATGACTTTTCAGACCCCCTAACGACTTTTTTTAGAAAGAAAGGGACTTTTATCGACTTCTTCTGGAGTTTAGAGACTCTGACATGAAGCAGGCTTTCCTTACTGAGGAGTTAGCAACGCTGCTAAGGGTGCAGAGCCACACATGCGCTCCGAGCTCTGCATGGGAGACTAAAGCTGACAGAGCTGCAGCAGTTAGCAGGTTTCACCCTCAGAGACCACCAGGGGTTCATGTTGAGGCATTTTCAGTTTTTTTTTTTTTTTTGCCATAGACACTGTCAGCACAATCTGCAGTTACACTAACAAAAATGCTGCAAAAAACAAAGAATTATGGAAAAATTACACATGGACTAACATAGAGGAGGATCTACACAAGTTTTTTACATCATGTTTTACATCATGCATCATTTACATCATGTTTTTTTGTAGTGGCATAAATAAAAAGTGACATTTGTGAGACTATACAGTGTTTTGTAAATAATTTTACAAAGAACGCCTGGGCCATTGCCTGCATTTTGATGAAAATAGAGGTAAATTACTATGTTCTTTGTTAAAAATTTGCATATGTTTTGAAGTTTACAATTTTTATTTGAAGTTTAAGTTTTAAAAACAGTTCATCACACATATTTGTGGTTTAATTTCACATTAATTTCCATATTGTATAAATGACTGGAAAACTTGAGCCCCTGCCCCTGTATAATCATGTGCACGTCCCTGTTCTAGCTCCAAGGTGAATCTTCACTGCTCATGTTCTCCTCAGAAATAGTCACCTCACTCCCCTCAGGTTACTGTACACATGCACCAACTATCTGCTTCAGGTTTGGATGGAGCTTCATGGTTGTCTTTTGGAGAAATGAACAGTCAAGTTGTGTTTGAAATTTGATTTTTTTCAGGGGCAAAAGGAAGCCTCTGCATTCTTGTCAAATATGTAAACAGCATGTTTTTGCAGGTGCTAAAAAACAGACTCTGAGTGTGTGTGTGTGTGTGTGTGTGTGTGTGTGTGTGTATGTTGGCGTGTGTGTATATGTGTGTGTATCCTGCAGTACTCTGTACTCCTGCAGTGGCCAAAAAGACTTTTAAGAATGTGGATTTTTGGGTCATCTTTGGCGCCCCCTAGAACTGCAGTACTCTGTACTCCTGCAGTGGCCAAAATGACTTTTAAGAATGTGGATTTTTGGGTCATCTTTGGCGCCCCCTAGAACGTAAACCGTAGGGTGCAGCGCCATGATTTTTACAACTTTGAATGGGCATGGGGTGTAGATTGCCCTGAGCAAATTTGGTATCGGTGGGACGAAAGCCTTAGGAGGAGATAGCCACATTCCAATGTGTGCGAATCGGCAAAAAATGCCAAATAACCCTTTAACCGTACATTAGACAGATACGCGCGCATGGACTTTTTTGTAGATCTTATTGAGATACATGTGTGTGTCAATTTTTGTGTCAATATGACAAAGCGTACAGGCGTGACAGTCAATAGTGTGAATTTCCACCTTAGGGGACAAGAAAAAATGGACTTTTTTCTCCTGCCATGGGGGGGCGCTCTTTTGGGGAGTAAAAATTCCTTCACAAATGTGTTGATGGCTGGACATTGCATCATCCTAGAAAACTTCGAGGCCAGTGAGGACAAAAATAAAAAGTTATAAGACTTTTAAATATGTGGATTTTAGGGTTATCTTTGGCGCCCCCTAGAACCTAAACCGTGGGGTGCAGCGTCATGATTTGAATAACTTTTAATGGCCATGGGGTGTAGATTGGCCTGAGCAAATGTGGTGCCGGTGGAACGAAAGCCTTCGGAGGAGTTAGCGAAATTCCAATGTGTGCGTATCGGCAAAAAATGCGGAATAACCCTTTAACCGTACATTTGACAGATACGCGCGCATGGACTTTTTTGTAGATCTTATTGAGATACATGTGTGTGTCAATTTTTGTGTCATTTTGCCAAAGCGTACAGGCGTGACACTCAACAATGTGTATTTTCACCTTAGGGGACAAGAAAAAATGGACTTTTTTCTCCTGCCATGGGGGGGCGCTCTTTTGGCGAGTAAAAATTCCTTCACAGATGTGTTGATGGCTGGACATTGCATCATCCTAGAAAACTTGGAGGCCAGTGAGGACAAAAATAAAAAGTTATAAGACTTTTAAATATGTGGATTTTAGGGTTATTTTTGGCGCCCCCTAGAACCTAAACCGTGGGGTGCAGCGTCATGATTTGAATAACTTTTAATGGCCATGGGGTGTAGATTGGCCTGAGCAAATGTGGTGCCGGTGGAACGAAAGCCTTCGGAGGAGTTAGCGAAATTCCAATGTGTGCGGATCGGCAAAAAATGCGAAATAACCCTTTAACCGTACATTTGACAAATACGCCCGCACTGACTTTTTTGTAGATCTTATTGAGATACATATGTGTGTCAATTTTTGTGTCAATATGACAAAGCGTACAGCCGTCATGTGAATTTTCACCTTAGGGGGCGCTATGGAGCCATTTTGCATTTTATTGTTTGGGCGACTTCAGAATATCGAATTTTTCACCAGGCCCGGTCGTCCTGCCAAATTTCCTGAGTTTTCGCCAGTGGGAAGTGGGCCATTTTCCAGTTCAAAGGGGAGGAAAAAGAAAAAAGAAACAAAGAACTAGGACCCCGTTGGGGCACTGGCGGGCCCGAGCCGTGTCGCGTCCCCCCCCCCAACGTGCTGCCTCCCCGTCCCATTTATGTCCTCTGGCCATCGCCCTCTCTGGTAACGCCCATCACTGCAAAGACCCTTTTCCTTCATCGGCGTTTGCTGTTCTTCCTGCCAGTGCGTGTTGCTTTCACTTACACTTGCCACAGCCAGCCTCGTGAGTGCCTAGCCTATTGGATATCACTGTCACCTACACAGGACAGTCATTACGTTTCTATTAATACTTTGTGTTTTAATTTCACATTAATTTCCATATTGTATAAACGACTGGAAAAAACTTGAGCCCCTGCCCCTGTATAATCATGTGCATGTCTCTGTTCTAGCTCCAAGGTGAATCTTCACTGCTCATGTTCTCCTCAGAAGCACTCACCTCACTCCCCTCAGGTTACTGTACACATGCACCAACTGCCTGCTTCAGGTTTGGATGGAGCTTCATGGTTGTCTTTTGGAGAAATGACCAGTCAAGTTGTGTTTGAAATTTGATTTTTTTCAGGGGCAAAAGGAGCCTCTGCATTCTTGTCAAATATGTAAATAGCATGTTTTTGCAGGTGCTAAAAACCAGACTCTGAGTGTGTGTGTGTGTGTGTGTGTGTGTGTGTGTGTGTGTGTGTGTCTGTGTGTGCGTTCAAGTCACATGACATATTTAACCGGATGTAGCTGCAAGACGGAGCCTTGTTGACGCTCCGTTTCAACTTATCTCAAAAGTGAGGACCTCAACCTATATACCAGTTTTTAGATTGTGTTGATAGGCCAAATAAAACCAGAGTTATGATAAATTATGTCCGCGATACTTTTTTTCTGCTTATTTTGATCACGTTCGGCGCTCGATCGCGCTGTATGAGACAGGAAAACATAGCATGCAGACATTAGCGACAGGTCTCACAGGCGGAAAAGGCTTGCCAAAAGAAAAAAAAAACACACCACAACATCTCTCCTATTGGTGGAAAACTTCACCACAACAACCAATCCAAAATTATATGGTGACTGATTGACAAGGGGCGGGCGCTTACGTTCTTCCTGCAACATGAGAAGCGAGGGAGGGACTCTCAGCAGGGATGCAGTCTGGGACACGTAGTTGCAAACCTAGCGACTTTGTTGTAGATTCAATGACTTTTCAGACCCCCTAACGACTTTTTTTAGAAAGAAAGGGACTTTTATCGACTTCTTCTGGAGTTTAGAGACTCTGACATGAAGCAGGCTTTCCTTACTGAGGAGTTAGCAACGCTGCTAAGGGTGCAGAGCCACACATGCGCTCCGAGCTCTGCATGGGAGACTGAAGCTGACAGAGCTGCAGCAGTTAGCAGGTTTCACCCTCAGAGACCACCAGGGGTTCATGTTGAGGCATTTTCATTTTTTTTTTTTTTGTGCCATAGACACTGTCAGCACAATCTGCAGTTACACTAACAAAAATGCTGCAAAAAACAAAGAATTATGGAAAAATTACACATGGACTGACATAGAGGAGGATCTACACAAGTTTTTTACATCATGTTTTACATCATGCATCATTTACATCATGTTTTTTTGTAGTGGCATAAATAAAAAGTGACATTTGTGAGACTATACAGTGTTTTGTAAATAATTTTACAAAGAATGCCTGGGCCATTGCCTGCATTTTGATGTAAATAGAGGTAAATTACTATGTTCTTTGTTAAAAATTTGCATATGTTTTGAAGTTTACAATTTTTATTTGAAGTTTAAGTTTTAAAAACAGTTCATCACACATATTTGTGGTTTAATTTCACATTAATTTCCATATTGTATAAATGACTGGAAAAAACTTGAGCCCCTGCCCCTGTATAATCATGTGCACGTCCCTGTTCTAGCTCCAAGGTGAATCTTCACTGCTCATGTTCTCCTCAGAAATAGTCACCTCACTCCCCTCAGGTTACTGTACACATGCACCAACTATCTGCTTCAGGTTTGAAATGGAGCTTCATGGTTGTCTTTTGGAGAAATGAACAGTCAAGTTGTGTTTGAAATTTGATTTTTTTCAGGGGCAAAAGGAGCCTCTGCATTCTTGTCAAATATGTAAACAGCATGTTTTTGCAGGTGCTAAAAAACAGACTCTGAGTGTGTGCGTGTGTGTGTGTGTGTGTGTGTGTGTGTGTGTATGTTGGCGTGTGTGTATATGTGTGTGTATCCTGCAGTACTCTGTACTCCTGCAGTGGCCAAAAAGACTTTTAAGAATGTGGATTTTTGGGTCATCTTTGGCGCCCCCTAGAACTGCAGTACTCTGTACTCCTGCAGTGGCCAAAATGACTTTTAAGAATGTGGATTTTTGGGTCATCTTTGGCGCCCCCTAGAACGTAAACCGTGGGGTGCAGCGTCATGATTTTTACAACTTTAAATGGGCATGGGGTGTAGATTGCCCTGAGCAAATTTGGTATCGGTGGGACGAAAGCCTTAGGAGGAGATAGCCACATTCCAATGTGTGCGAATCGGCAAAAAATGCAAAATAGCCCTTTAACCGTACATTATACAGATACGCGCTCTTTGACTTTTTCGTAGATCTAATTGAGATACACATGATTGTCAATTTTTGTGTCAATATGACAAAGCGTTCAGGCGTGACACTCAACAATGTGTATTTTCATGTAAGGGGACAAGAAAAAATTGACTTTTTTCTCCTACCATGGGGGGCGCTCTTTTGGGGAGTAAAAATTCCTTCACAAATGTGTTGATGGCTGGACATTGCATCATCCTAGAAAACTTGGAGGCCAGTGAGGACAAAAATAAAAAGTTATGAAACATTTAAGAATGTGGATTTTTGGGTTATTTTTGGCGCCCCCTAGAACCTAAACCATGGGGTGCAGCATCATGATTTGAATAACTTTTAATGGCCATGGGGTGTAGATTGGCCTGAGCAAATGTGGTGCCGGTGGAACGAAAGCCTTCGGAGGAGTTAGCGAAATTCCAATGTGTGCGTGTCGGCAAATAATGCGGAATAACCCTTTAACTGTACATTTGACAGATACGCGCGCACGGACTTTTTTGTAGATCTTATTGAGTTACATGTGTGTGTCAATTTTTGTGTCATTTTGACAAAGCGTATAGGCGTGACACTCAACAATGTGTATTTTCACCTTAGGGGACAAGAAAAAATGGACTTTTTTCTCCTGCCATGGGGGGGCGCTCTTTTGGGGAGTAAAAATTCCTTCACAAATGTGTTGATGGCTGGACATTGCATCATCCTAGAAAACTTGGAGGCCAGTGAGGACAAAAATAAAAAGTTATAAGACTTTTAAATATGTGGATTTTAGTGTTATCTTTGGCGCCCCCTAGAACCTAAACCTTGGGGTGCAGCGTCATGATTTTGATAACTTTTAATGGCCACGGGGTGTAGATTGGCCTGAGCAAATGTGGTGCCGGTGGAACGAAAGCCTTCGGAGGAGTTAGCGAAATTCCAATGTGTGCGGATCGGCAAAAAATGCGAAATAACCCTTTAACCGTAATTTTGACAGATACGCCCGCACTGACTTTTTTGTAGATCTTATTGAGATACATATGTGTGTCAATTTTTGTGTCAATATGACAAAGCGTACAGTCGTGACAGTCAATAGTGTGAATTTCCACCTTAGGGGGCGCTATGGAGCCATTTTGCATTTTATTGTTTTGGCGACTTCAGAATATCAAATTTTTCACCAGGCCCGGTCGTCCTGCCAAATTTCATGAGTTTTCGCCAGTGGGAAGTGGGCCATTTTCCAGTTCAAAGGGGAGGAAAAAGAAAAAAGAAAGAAAGAAACAAAGAAAAACCACTTGGGGAATAATAGGGCCTACGCCCGGCTGCTCTGCAGCTGGCTCGGGCCCTAAAAACCACTTGGGGAATAATAGGGCTCTCGCAGCTGCTTAGCAGCTACGCTCGGGCCCTAAAAAACCACTTGGGGAATAATAGGGCTCTCGCAGCTGCTTAGCAGCTACGCTCGGGCCCTAAAGAAGGAAACATGCAGGAACAAGAGGGCTCTCGCAGCTGCTTAGCAGCTACGCTCGGGCCCTAAAGAAAGAAACAAAGAAAAACCACTTGGGGAATAATAGGGCCTACGCCCGGCTGCTCTGCAGCTGGCTCGGGCCCTAATAACAAAAGAAGGAAACATGCAGGAACAAGAGGGCTCTCGCAGCTGCTTAGCAGCTACGCTCGGGCCCTAAAAACCACTTGGGGAATAATAGGGCCTACGCCCGGCTGCTCTGCAGCTGGCTCGGGCCCTAAAAACCACTTGGGGAATAATAGGGCTCTCGCAGCTGCTTAGCAGCTACGCTCGGGCCCTAATAAACCACTTGGGGAATAATAGGGCTCTCGCAGCTGCTTAGCAGCTACGCTCGGGCCCTAAAGAAGGAAACATGCAGGAACAAGAGGGCTCTCGCAGCTGCTTAGCAGCTACGCTCGGGCCCTAAAGAAAGAAACAAAGAAAAACCACTTGGGGAATAATAGGGCCTACGCCCGGCTGCTCTGCAGCTGGCTCGGGCCCTAATAACAAAAGAAGGAAACATGCAGGAACAAGAGGGCTCTCGCAGCTGCTTAGCAGCTACGCTCGGGCCCTAAAAACCACTTGGGGAATAATAGGGCCTACGCCCGGCTGCTCTGCAGCTGGCTCGGGCCCTAAAAACCACTTGGGGAATAATAGGGCTCTCGCAGCTGCTTAGCAGCTACGCTCGGGCCCTAATAAAGTGACTGTTATTTAGAGAGAGAGAAGGTGAGGGAGGGCTGGGGTGGAGAGAGAGAGAGAGAGAGAGAGAGAGAGAGAGAGAGAGAGAGAGAGAGAGTGTGTGTGTGTGTGTGTGTGTGTGTGTGTGTGTGTGTGTGTGTGTGTGTGTGTGTGTGTGAGAGAGAGAGAGAGAGAGAGAGAGAGAGAGGAGGCTTAGAGGATCTGTCTTTTATGCCTTTCTACTTGGGTGTAAAGTATTAGCAATCTGGGCTGGGAGGAGTCATCAAACAAGCAGGAAGAAGCCACGTATGACATAGCAGACATTAGGGGTAAGCAAATCCTAGAGCCAGGCATTTAATTAGATTTCAATTTCTGTTATGATTATGGCTTCCCACTGTCATAAAGTTTGATAATTGAGACTGAATAATATTTTGCCGCCTGCTGTGGTGCTAGATATTAAATGAAGTGCACCCTCCCTTTCTTAAAGCTGCGGAGTTTATTGATGGACCTATATCTTCAACT